AGGATATGTAGAGATCTCGTCGCCCTGTCCCCCACGCCCTCCTGACTTCTCGCCACCCCCATGGGCCCGCCTCGCCGCCGCGGAGCCCCACGCCGCCGGTGACGCTGGCCGCGGCCCGGCGCATCTCGAGCAGCTGCTGCATGGCCTCGGGCCCCGTCAGGTCGCGCTCCTCGCGCCGGCGGCGCGCCGGGCCTGCCGCCACAGCCTCCCACTATGTAGGATGCTGGAGCGTCTAAAGCCGAACTTCTTCGCAGAGTTTTTTGGATCCCTGGCCTGCCCAACGACGTGGTTTATATATCTAGCCATTCCGAGCCACCGTGGGTCAACCCTGGGAGGACGCCAAGTATGCCCCTACACCGATCGTGGCAGGCTCATCCTGGGCTCAGGATCGGTGCATACGTCCTCCTGGCCTGGGTAAAAAGGCACATACGTACTAATCCTGGACACAGGATCGGCCTGGCCAGGATCGATGACCTTAGGTGTGGTTCCTTCCGAGCCCGTCGTCCCAGACCCCCGAGCCTCGTGGAGGGGTCGGGACGACCCAGGCCTCCAGGTTCGAGGGGCTCAAAGCTTGTGGGAGTCGCGGGTATCCGTTTCGGGCCTCGAGGGAGGCACCGCGTCGCCACGGCCCGATGGGCCTCGGCATTGTGGTCCAAGAAATGCCCGAAACGTCCAGAAACCTCGAACCTCGAAGCTTCAGAGAATTGCGGGGAGATTAGACCACAAGCGACGAACACTTCCATATCCGCGCCCTCGCGGCCTGGACGCCGAGGAGCGGTTCCATTGGATGCGCGACCTCGGATGGGTTCCGCGTGCTGTCCACTCGCCTCCACGAGCCACCTCGGGGGCACAAGGTGTGGAGACCCGCATCCCCCAGGAAGCGCGCCCCTGAGCAGATCCAGGGGGTCGGTTGTCGACCCCCTGGCACAAAGCCCCTCGCGACGTGGGAAGAACACGACGGGACGGGCTGGGACAGCGGTTCCTCGGCTGGCCCCGGGGCCGTCAAAAACGGTGCGGAACGAAGAAGCCTTGAAATGAAGAGCCAATCCCGGCAACCAGAAGGTCGAGACCTCTCTAGCTCCACGCTGTAGTAAACGCCTGAAGACGCGGAGAGGAGGAGGAACAGGAGGAAGAAGAGAAAAAGGAGGAGAGGAGGAGAAAAGGAAGGAGAGGAGAAGGGCTGACTGACTGACGCGCCCTAACACGGCGAGATCCCCCAACTAGACTAAATGTACATTAACTCCAAAAGATCGTGCGGCCCGTACCAGACACGGACGTTAATTCGCGACAGCATGTCTCCAGCTACACCCCACAACGTTTTGGGGTCACGGGTGGCCTGCATTTTGAGCCTTGTCGCCCACCTTGCCTGGTCCCACCTGCTTACACGACCCTGAAGGCGACCTAGTGAGGGTCTTTGAAGTGGAGGCTGGGCTGTCCCAATTTATCCTGACCTGCGTGACCCAAGAATGGCCCTTCTCAGCCACAGCTGGGGCTGCTACGCTGCTGGGGCGCCGTTCCAGATGACTGAACCAACTTAGCAACGACTGGCAATGGACGCTCGACCACTGCTGGGCCGGGAAGGCTCGCAGAGGAGGAAGAGGAGGGGAAATCAAGAAACCAATCTGGGCAACAGGAGGGTCGAGACCGCTCAGGTTCCACGTTGTGGTACAGGCCTGAAGAGGTGGAAAAGAGGAGGAGCAGTAGGACGAAAAGAAAAAGAGGAGAAAAGGGAGGAGAGGAGGAGGAGGAGGAGGAGGAGGAGGAGGAGGAGGAGGAGGAGGAGGAGGAGGAGGAGGAGGAGGGGGAGGGGGAGGAGCCAGCGTCCCTGGGAGCGGTCCGTCCTGCCTTAAACGCGCCCGACGCACCCTCTGAGCCACTCAGGGTCTCGGCGGCGCAGTACAGCAGGTCGGAGTCGGCGGTCACGAACCAACGTCGTTGGGCGCCTCATCGGTCACGGAATTCGGCAAGTATGCGTCAACCTCCGCGCCCGTGGGAGCAGAAGAAACGATGGCGGGGGGAGCCCCCGCCGAGTCGAAAGAGACGGCGACCATGACGCCGAATGGGTCGGTACGTACAGCGCAAATCGAGTCGGTGGCACCGCCCATGAACAGGAGGTCGACATGAACGGGTGGAGCCTTGCTGCATGAGCGGAGCTGCAGTAAGTCACGATGTCGATAAAAGAGGGGCCCCTGGCACCACGCGACCCGACCGCCTTAGCACAGCGCAAGCAGCTAAGGCACCCAACTCGCACCCGTGGTCATTAGCGACTGCGGCATAAGGCCCTTGTTCAGGAAGAGGAGGGCCGCCCAGCGCCATCAGGTGGGGGAAGATGCCCGGCAGGAGGCCTATGTGCATGGCGATCGGGCTCAGCGGCGGCAGGACCTGTAGCAGCTCCGTCGGCATGAGGCCGAAGCCTAGTAGTAAGCTGAAGTAAAGGTACGCTAGCAACCTCGTCTGGTGGAGGAAAAACCCGGGGAGAGCTGGATCAACAGCGGCAAGACCCGCAGCAGCGCCACCGACATGAGGCAGAAGCCCTGCAGGAGGCTGGCGCAGTGGGAGAACGCCAGCAGCGTCATCGGGTAGCAGAAGAAGCGCATGGAGAGCGTGATCAGCAGAGGCAGGACCCTCAGCAGCTTCATCGACATCCGAAGAGCCCAGAAGTCCAGCAGGCGCGTCTCCCTCATGCTGGTGCGGCTGAGGACCATGGTGTCCACCACCTTCCTGCGATGACCACGACGTGTCGAGAGACAGGTCGTACATATCAGGGGCACTGCGAACAGCAGCACGCAAACGCCAAAGAGCTGCTGACAGCGGCTGTGCAGAGACACAGTGTGGAAGTAGCTGAGAAAGGCGCCCGTGCCGCCCGATGGCGACAGCATCCTCGGTGATCTCGCTCATGTGGGAATCTCTGCCAGCAGCGACAAAGCGGCAGGCTAGAAAGTAGTTGCATGCTGGTCTCGTTGCAATCCGCGGCCCGACCTCCAGGACCGTCAGCCAAAAGAAATCGAGAGCATCAAATGGGGTGCTAGTCGGCGCAGCGTCACCATGAAGATCGGCAGCAGCATGGCGCCCCACTGTCTCTACACCGGGAGCGACGAAAGCTCCAGCAGCCAGCGAGGTTGGAGTCTCGACGTGAGCGTCGAGATTGGTCACAAGCGGTGCAAAATGAGAAGAGCGTAGGGCCTCCGCGACATTTTACCCCTGGCCTCTGAAAGCTCCCCCCACGAACTCACGAGCACAGGGAGCGATAGCGTTAGACAGACTCTATATGGCAAACCGAAGCTTCAAGCAAAGTGGGGCAAACCGAGCTTCAAGCAAAGCTGGCAGGCCTGGGGCGCGCTCAAGATCACCATCACCAAGAAGGAGAGGACCGCCGAGAAGCGCCCTCGCAGCGCCAGTCGCAGGAAGGTGCTCACGAGGGACGGGCTGAGCAGCCAGATGGCCATACGAGGCAGTAGGTGGAACCACTGAGCCTGGCGGACATCCCGAAGAGCTGGACGAACGCCACGTGCGTCCCGCAGTGCACCGTCAGCACCCAGACCCACGCGAGCAGCAGCACAAGGGTTGCCACCAAAATGAGATGATCATCAGCAACAGGACGATCGAAGCCAGAGACTTCCTCGAGGGCGTCGTCGGAAGCCCTTCTCCGAGCGAAGCGGGCTGTGTAAAACCGCGAAGGGAAGACGCCGGATGGCGAGGACCACGGCGTCCTCTTCGCAGCCAGAGCGGCTGTGCACTGGTCCAGGGCCTCCCACGTAGCAGGACAAGAGGAAAGGAGGGCGGTCGCCTTCTCCATCTGCTCCATGCTCGCGCCAATGTTCGATAACTTGCAATCGCCGTCAACAGGTACATCAGCCCAGCGCGTACGAGGTCCAGCAGCGCGGTCCTGTTTGACCCGCATGGCCGTGATCTCCCGCAGGGTCCCCTTCCACTGGCGCGATCTGGAGGATCAGCATGGGCAGCGCCGCCCTGTCGTCCATGAGGTTGCCGTCCAGCTGGCCCTTGAAGTGGTTTGTGATGGTGTTTGGCGGCGTCGGCCATCTCCAGCGCTGTGCGAGCAGCCGCATGGGCGGCAGGGGAGAGCACACCACGGCGGAGAGCACGGTGTGCGCCACTTTGCCAGAAGCCGCAGTGGTTATGCCGTACGCGAGCCCATCTCCGTCGAGCATGCGATAGAGTGCCTTGCCAAGGGCCATTCGCTCCACGTCAGCCCTATCAGCCTCATCTACCTCCACGAACGCCTTCTCGGGGGCACGATGGGAAATGGCGTACCAAACATCCTGCTCAGAACGGCGACGTTGAGCGGCAGTGAACGAAGCCCCCGCGGTAGGGCAGCCACCCAGGATCTACAGCTCGGCATGGAAGGACTGCACGTAGCAGCGCCCACGCAAAGGTGGGGGACGCGCAAGTAGAAGGGGCAGGCCACTAGCATCCAGATGACGCCGCCATCCCAAAGAATCCCGCTCGCGGGCGGGCGCGCGCAGACACCAGGAGCCAGGGCAGGCCCGGTAGCTCTTGCGCCAAAATGGATACGGAGGAGGAGGGGGAAAAGGAGGAAGAGGAGGAGGAGGAGGAGGAGGAGGAGGAGGAGGAGGAGGACGAGGACGAGGAGATTGACGTTGTCGCGGCCACGGCCAGGCGGAACTCGAAAGACTGGCCAGAATGGGTGTGCGGGAGGAGTCCAAGGACCGATCTTGAGCGACATTTGTGACTGCGCGTTGCTCCGACGTCGTGTTTTCACGAAGCCGTTTGAAAATCCACCTGGCATGCCCATTGAGATTTTCTCTCGGAAATGATACAAGAGAAAAAACTCAATCCGATTGATTGTTTTAGGGCTATAAGGCTATAGGGCTATTGGGCTGCAGGGCTATGGGGCTATAGGGCTATAGGGTTATATGGGCTATAGGGCTATAGGGTATTGGGCTATAGGGCTATAGAGCTAATAGGGCTACAGGGCTATAGGGCTATAGAGCTATAGGGCTACAAGGCTATACGGCTATAGGGCTACTGGGCTATAGGGCTATAGGGCTATAGGGCTATAGAGCTATAGTGCTTTAGAGCTATAGGGCTATAGGGCTATAGGGCTATACGGCTATAAGGTTATTGGGCTATAAGGCTATATGGCTATAAGGCTATAGGGCTATAGGGCGATAGGGCGATACAGCACCCGGCCACCCGGGCACCCCCAGGCATCTCTGGGCACCCCCGGGCACCTCCCGGCACCCCCGGGCACCCCCGGGCACCCGCGGGCACCCGGGCACCCGGGCACCCGGGCACCCGCGGGCACCCGGGCACCCGCGGGCACCAGACACCCGGGCACCCGGGCCAGCCACCGAAATCGGCGACCCACCTCAGCTAACCATCTGTATCCGCTAGGACCCCTACAGAGGCAAGCTCTGATTGGGGAACAACGTGGAAACTGCCAGATGCACAAGGCCATTTCCGAAAGATGGCACGCAACACCCAAGGCCTGCCATCGAACGAAGGGATCTAGAGCTGAGTTCTCCAACTGGGGCCGTATGACAAGCTTCCACAGGGAGTAGCGGCAAGAAGATGAGGATGCAGGAAAACGAGGGAGCTGGAGACTGAGAGGTGGGACTGCGGGGACGCGCAGCGCAGCGGGTTCGAAACGAGGGCGAGGGCGGGGATCAAACGAAACAACACGACGGGCTGAAACAGCTACCTCATGAAGACAAGCAAGTCCTTTGAAACCTGGCGAACTTCGACAGGAACTCCTGCTGAACAAACTGGAGACGCAACGAAGACATAGCAATGCCACAAGTCCAAGCATGGATTGTACCTGCATGGATGGACTGCCGGGACCGTACATGTAGATCCGAAAACGCACGCACGCACGCACGCACGCACGCACACACACACGCACACTGACACGCACACGCACACGCACACGCACACACACACACACACACACACTCACACACACACACGCGCACGCACGCACGCACGCACGCACGCACGCACGCACGCACGCACGCACGCACACCTACACACACACACACACACACACACACACACACACACGCGCGCACGTACGTACACGTACACGTACACATACACGCACACACTTTTTGCGTCGGTGGCTAAGCAGAATGACGGCGCTGGCGGAAGATCACAATTTGGACAAACCAATGCGAATTAAGGCGCAGTGCACGGGGGACAAAGGAGGAACGCCCGACGACGGCGGGAAGGAGGAGGAAGGCGAGCCCGCTCACAGCGGGGCTAGGCGGAGGCGGGGGAGGCGCCGGGGGGGCTGGGCCCAGCGGCGGCAAGGCGGCAGCTGGGGGGGTAGGCCAACCGGGCGGCAGCCGGAAGCAGGCGCCCAGGGGGGGGCACTGCCCAGCACAGGCTGGAAACGGGAGAATGCAAACACACACACACACACACACACACTTCCCGTCGGCGGCTGGGCAAAGGTTACTGTTCTGGCGATCTGGCATTAGTGGGGCGCGCTAGATGCAAGTTGGGCCGCAGTGCACGTGAGGAGAAGAGGAGACACTGGCGCGACGGGGAGAGAGGAAGCTGGGCCAGCTCAGGCAGGTCATCGGCTGCGACGGAAGGAGCGCCGACGGGGGGGGGGGGGGCAGCTGCGGCGCCGGGAAGCACCTGGGGGGAAGGCAACCGACAGCGGCCAGGCAAAGCCTGGCGGGGAAGCAGGTACCACGAATGGGCAGGTATGAACGACCAGACCAGCCAATCAATATCAGTCCGAGGGAATACCGTGGGGGCTGACGCGGACAAGCAGCAAGCGAGTACAAACAGAAAAGCGTGTCACATGTTGATGCAGTCACCACACCAATGGGGGAACTGGCGGGGCAGGCAAACCCAGCGGTTAGGCGCAGCGCCGAGATCCGGTGACCTACGAAGCGCGATGGGAGGTGGGAAGGGCGGAGCACAGGCAGCCACGAGTGCGCTGCAGTGAGCGCGGCTAGAGCAGGCCGGCACGAAGGCGGTGGACAAAGGACGAGGAAGCAGAGCCACGCCATCAGGGGGGGCGGCGTGGAGCTGGGAGCGCCAGCAGGCGGGCGGGCGGGCGCCGAGATCTGGCGGCCTCCGAGGCGCGGGGAGGGGGGGAGGCAGAGCAAGGCGCCAGGGTAGCGCGGCAGCAACCCGTCCACCATTAGGCAGGCGGATGGACGAAAGGCTGGCCTGAAAACCAGGCTGGCGAAGGGTGACTTGGCAAGGGGCAACCGAGGTCGGTCGGCCAGGCGCGGGGCGCGGCAAAGCGGCGGAGGGTGTCGCTTCTGACTGGGCCTCGTTGGGGGAGCTGGACCAGAGGGTTTGCTGGTGCCGGCGGCAAATTCGGCAGCCATGGCACTCCCGCCGCGCACTTGGGAGGTCGTCTGCGGGGCGGGGGCACGGGGCCCACCCCCGCCCCGCCCGCGGCCCCCCTCTCGCATGCGCCTCGCACCTCAAATGGAGGGCAGCAGCGTTGGCTGGGACTCCGGGCGCGCAGATGGGGAGTCGTCTTATTTCACCCCCAGCACGGGGCGCGCTGCGGGCGAGGCGCGGCCAGGCGGATCCAACCAGTGCGCGGGAAGGTCGGGAGGGGCAGCAACCTGGACATGCCTCGTCGCACTGCCCACGCATCGCACGTCTGCAAGGGTGCGTCCGTCGGGCCCTCCATCTCGGGCTCATCGGCGGGCCGATCAGCCGCGCGGCCTGGAATGACGGCAGCGCGAACGGCGCCAGCAGCGGCATCCGGGCCGAGGGGGGATGATCAAGCGCCACGGCGTACCGATAAGCAACCTGATGCAGGAAGTCCGCCAGCAGACTAGGATGACTGCTGGGCTGCATAATTGCCCCGACGAAGGCGCAGGTGGAGTTCGGGGGGCGAACCGGATGCCGGGCCAGAGCCACAGCCACGCACCAACTCCAGGCGTTCAGCACTGGCTTCGCCCTGACCGCACAGCGGGCAGCAGCTGCCAGGGCTGGCGCCGAGGGAAAGGGCGGGGCGGGGAAGGGCGTCGTCGCGGCACAGGAGGCGCCACAAGGTGACCGCGCCGAGCGCTGCCCACTCGGGGCCGTCGCGAGCCCATGGGCCAAGACAGGACTCGCACCAGGCTTGACCTGAAGAGTCGCGGCCCCCCGTGTGCCAGACAGCCTTCCCTGGGGGTGGCACGCTGAGCAGCGAGGATGGGAGTGATCGACGGCTGCCCTCTATCTGGCTTTCGCAGGGAGGCCATTTAGGAGCATCAGGATGTGATAGGCGGCCGCGGAATGGGGGGCGCGCAGTAGCAGGCCCTATTCATGTCCCTCTCCGGCGCCCACCTCCGCCTAGCGCTGGCAGAGTGCATCATCCATTGCCTGTGATTGTGGGCGTCTTGAGACGCCCATACACTGACGTAGATAGCCCAGCCAAGGAGGTCTGGCCTGGGGGGGGCGCTTCTGAGAAGCGTGCTAATCTTCTCTGCGCGGCTCTGCGGCGGGTGACAATGCTAGACCGCGGCCTTCGCTCTTGGTCACGAACAGGTTGAGCCCGGGCCCATCGAGCGGCACTTTGTTAGAGTTGGGCTGCCTTAGCCTGGGCAGGGAGATGGCCCCGCACGTCCTGCCGCACGTGGGCCAGGGCGGCGATGGCTCTGGCAGTCGTTAGGGGGGCACTTCGGACAACCTGGAACCTGACAGCAGGACCCAGTCTCTGCTAGGACGAAGTCTGGGATCCATGTCTGCCTAGAAATACAACATGCCATGCGGTTTTGGCCCAGCGGGTCAACTACCGCCGCTGGGCTCAGCAGAGCGCAGCGCGCTGGGTGCGGAAAAACCGAGGCAATATAGGCGTTCCATGTGGCAGCACGCCTTCCTGGGAACAGGTGCGCCCGGTGCGGGATGAGCGCTCTTGCTCGGATCTCACTGAGGGCTTTGGTCAAAGTGCCTGCAGCGAGGTCGTCGTACCAGTCAAAGACTATCCGCACGTGGCTGGGGGGGTGGGGACCAAAGGTCCTCGTGGAGATGGCCGTGCCAAGGTACGGCCATTCCGCCTTGACACAATAGCTCCCAAACGGGGTTGCATCCATAATGCCTTCCCACCAGGACGATGCTGCTCCTGGGACAAGGGCGGTTTTGAAGGAGCAGCAGCAAGGCCGCTGCCATTCCCACGCCCCCTGATGGCGGACTCGCCGTGATCAGCCCGAATGAAATCTTTGGTAAGGCGGGGCGGGAGACCAGCGACCACCGCGAGCCCGTCGGGCACCCGCATGGCGGATAGAGGGGTGGAGGCGAGGGTACGACGCAGCTCTGGAGGGGGACTTGGGAGAGCCAGGCCTCTGCAGGAGCGCGAGGCAAGCAGCAACCCAGCTGCCCCGGAGGCCCAAGGGAGCATGATAGATGCGCGTATGATCTGTTTAGGGGAGTCGAGTAGGCTGGCAAGATCATCCACGCAAGTGGGGAAGCGGCCGGCTGAGGCAGCTGAGGTGGCTGCGACGAGTGGGTCAAAGGCCATGCACCAGAGGGGGGGAGAGGCGGCACCTCCCATTCCTATGGACCCGGCGAGGCTTCTCCAGGGGCCTACGTAGGCACCCCTCAATGTCTGCACTTCACGCCGGACCACGAGGTCGAAGAGGCCTTGCTGCAGCCATGAGGGCAGGCCCCAGCGGTTGAGTAGAGCTGCGAGCCAGTGGAGCGAGAGCCTCTCAAATGCCTTTCTTTGGTCTGCGAAGAGAATGGCAGTCGAGGGGGGAGGGCCAGCCTCACGGGTGACCTGCGCTGGATGTGCCTCAACGACGGCGAAATGCCACCCGAAGAGGCGGCCCCACGTCCTACCTGGACTCGGTGGCGCGGGAACTGGAACCCGCCCAGGGTGGTCAGCAGCCGCGCGGATGTTAGGCCCGCACTGCCCGCCTTTCTTGGCGGCTTGATCGGTGGAAAGCTGTGGTTCAACAAGGGGGCCGAGCAGGTCGGCAAGTGAGGTCCCAAAGAGGCGGCGCATGCACGTGGGCAGCTGCAAGGGCCGCAGGCCGTTGGGGCGTTCAGCGCTGGGGAT